GGTGCCTTCCCCCTAGGACATGGCTCACCTCTGAGTTGTCTCATCCTCCACACCCAGGGGCATTTGGTCACACATGGAAGGTAGTTCAGCCTGCAAAGCCTTGAGGACTGTTCCCTTCCATCAAGGCTGACAGGTTTCACCAGCCATCTCTGGGAGCTCTTACTCTTGCCTTCCTGTGTGGGGCTGACCCTTTTGAGCTTTTCCCTCATGCTTGGCCCTCACCACAAGTCTGAGTGGAAGTATGAAGTGCATGGATTAAATGCACAACTCTTATTTTCTCCTTATCCCTTGTCACACTGAAATCCAGCCAGTTGAAACCCCCTTGGACACACTGCAGTATTGCCTAGAAGAATCTGGCTCCCTGATCCCCCAGAGCCAGTGACCTGGTCTGTGATTGGCCTGCAGCAAGTGGAGGACACAGTTCAGAGCTTCCTTCCAGGCAGGACAGCCACTGCAGCCCACTGGTGGATGGCTGTGAGCCTGCAGTGGGTGTGGAAAGTGCAGTGTGGCACCAAATACCAAGGTGTTTTCTTCTTCCCCATCCTTGCTGTGGTCTCTCTGAGGGCTCTGGGCAGAGACTGGAGGTTCTCTGGAGCAGCCAAGCCTACCTGTCCTTTACCTCTCTTTCCTGGACCCCAGGGGTTGCCTGTTCACCCTGCTGAAATGAGGGGCAGCCTCAGCTTCCAGGTCATGCTTCTTAGCATGGTTTTCCAGCCGTTTGCAGCAGTTCAGGCTGGGGACCTTTTCTGCCATGAAGACTCAGCAAATCCTTTGACCTGGAAGGGCACAGTCTCAAGGACCTTTTCTTTCTGCTAACGTTGCTGTGACCGTGCTTCATTTGGGAAATGTGCACAGTTATGTATTTGTTCCTTTGATCTCCAAAGGTTTAGGTTACTGTCCATCGTGATTTAACGGGTATGTTGAGAGCCTGGTGTTTGTCTGCCTCTGTTAGACACAGCTGGGCCTCACAGGTCTGCTGCAGTGCATGTCTTCTGTCCTGGGATCAAATGAGAATCCCCCTTTGGCTGTTTGGTGTTGGCCTTGCTTTATATTCTGGTCTCAGATGACACGTTTGCTGCTGTTTTCCTGCAGTTCTTTGGTCTGTTCATTGCTACCTTGGTTTGCTTTTATTTAAAGCTTTGGTAGTTATCCATGACTGCTCCAGTGAGGCTTTGAGGCACTCTGTGGCATTTCTGTACTGTTCTTCCCTGTGTTTTTCAAACTTTCTCTTCTGCTCTGATGCCCTTGTTTTGCTTGGCTGTATTACTCAGGTAACCATCTCAAGTGCCTTTGCTGTATTGGTATGCAGGGTCTCTTATGGCCTGGTCTTGGAATAAATGTCCTGTTTTGCAGCTGGCTTCTCTAATGGTGCCTGTGATTTCAACACCAAGTCTGCATGTGCAGCCTCCAGAGCCACTGGGGGAGCAGAGCCATGTCTAGTCTCCCTTGGGCCATGGCTCTGTTGTAGCATGGTGGTGAGAGGCCCAGAAGCCGCATCCATCATCCTCACAGCTGTCTGTTGTCTCGTAAGTCAGAGCTGAAGGGCTGCATCCAGGTGTCAACTGTGAGTCCCCATATTTTGGCCTCTGAACCCCATCAAGGTTGTGCCTCCTCCCCTGTGCCTCTCCTCCCCCTGTGACGGTGTCACGGGACTTCCTAGGCCTTGTACACACTTGTTCCTTGGGTGCAGTACCTATGGACCGGAATCAGAGCCAGGTCCATAGGAGTGTGGCTGTGCCAAAGCATCTGCAGTCTTTTGCATTTGTTCTTTTTCTTTCTTTAAAATGCCTCCACATTTTCTTCTTCAAACCCCACTGAAGAAATTGCTGCCTGACCACGCTCCAGTGTTCCTCTTCTGCAGGCTCACAGCTTTTGTGCTGTGTGAGGCTGTCGGGCGGTGGTCCTCAGTGGTTTCTAGCCTCCTCTTGCCTCTGTGTAGTAGATTTGCAGGGCAGTCATGTGCGGTTCCCTGTGTGTGTTTTGTAAAGTGTTGTTGCGTGGGCTCCCTGTCATGGCACAAACTCAGGTTTGGCTCTTTGCCCAAGAACCATTTCCTGGGCTGAGAGTAGCCAGACACTGTGTGTCCATGTGCCGGCTGATACGTTTGCAGAGCAGTTTTACCTTTCTGTGCTGAAAACTGTACCTTGCACTTTGTAACTTCTTTGTATTGGACTTAACTAGGGGGTTACTTTAACTCCTTTCTATTGGATTCTCTTTATAGCAAGTTTCTGTGTATTGCTGTATAAGAAATCTTAGAGCTATTAAGATATCTTTCTAGCTTGTACCTTGGAGGGAAAATCACATTAGAGAACAAGAACTGCAGCCAGGTAAAGTCATATGGGGTAGCTGGATTGATTTAATGGTGTTCACAGTTGCTAGTAACGTGAATACTGATGTTTTTGTGGTGGTTATTCATGGTATTGAAAGAGTGGCTGTTACCAGCTATTGTAACGCAGCGCTGGGCCGATGTCCCTTATGCCGGGCTTTTGGTGGCTCAGACCCCCGAGTTTTGCAAAGGCCGGTTTTCTGCATGCCATAGGTGCAGCATTTGTCACGTGGATGTATTTGTCTGCCAGGTCTCAGGTCACTGTGTCAGTGTCAGTATTTACAGGTAAGTGTCTGTCTGTCTGTGTGTCTTTCAGAAGGAGAAAAGCAAGATGCTTCTGTGGTCTGCAGTTCTAAGCAGCTGCATCCTGGATTGCAGCTTTATCATGCTGCCTACAAGAAGAACCTTCCTGACATGGCAGAGGCATTGGCCCATGGGGCTGAAGTAAACTGGGTCAATATAGCAGAAAACAAAAGCACCCCATTGATTCAGGCAGTGCTAGGGGTAAGTGATGCACAGCACGGATGTTTCTGGGTCTCTGTTAACAGTGAATCACTTGCCTTGCTAGCTTGTGATAGTGTTTGATCTGTGGTGCCAAAGTGGGCTCATGTTGTCTCTCTTCTTCAAAGTTGCTTCTGAGCATTGGTTTCCGTTAATGGCCTGGTCGGGACTGTGTACCCTGTTAGTGCTTAAATAGATAACATTTGGAGCCACGTCCTTCTTTCTTTCCTCGCCGTATGAGGTGATGTGATTCTGTGATTCACATGCTTCTAGATTTGTCTCTTCTTCGAAAGGCTTGGTGCTGAATTGGCCTTCTGTTGTCATTCCTCAGGGCTCATTAGTTACCTGTGAGTTCTTGCTGCAGAATGGTGCCAATGTGAACCACAGGGATGTGAAAGGAAGAGGACCGCTGCATCATGCCACAGTCTTGGGACACACTGGGTAATGCTCTCTTGCAGTACTTGTAAAACAGCCATCCTTTTCTGAAGACATGCCTCTTGCAGTTGCTTGGTATTTGCATAGACTCTGAATCCCTGCACTGCTTCTCCCCAGGACATCCTGCTGTTTTTCACACCTTCAGGATGAAATGCGGCTACACACTAGTAGTCTGATTCATTACCGTACTGGAAACAGACGGTCATGTCCCTTCCCTAAGAACTGTCGTTCAGCAATGTTCTGTCATATGTTCCATCCCACCCTTCCATCACCTGCTGCTGACAGTGAGGGAAGTAAGAAGCTGACAGAACCACTGCAGAGGCGGCTAGGATTGTGCCTTGTTCACTTTGTCCACATGTGCTGCCTGCCAGTGCACCTCTGCACTGTGTTTCCAAAGCTCTTAACACAGTAGGGCCCTGATATATGTTTGAAGCCTCTACGTGCTCCCTCTGCAATCAAGACCATAATAAACCATAATCTGATGTGCAGCACCCCTGCTGCTTGCCTGGGTATATTTTTCTCAGAAATAGAGACCCCCTGCTCCCCCATTTAGCTTTGCCAAAGTGTCCTCCTGGCCTGGGAGAGTTTTGGAGGAAGAAGAAAATGTGTCCAAAGCCATTCCTCATGGAGGTGAAGTGCTCCCAGAGGCAGGTGACCAAGCAGGATTTCAGAATATTAATTCTGCAGTGAGTGCAAGCAGACAGCTGATGCTCTAGGTTTTTAGGCATGCTAGTAATCTCTGGTTTTATGCTGCTTCATAGCTGTTGTCAAGCAGCTTGTTAGAGATGGGTGGAAGTCTCTTTCTTGGTCCTCCCAAATGCAGTGGTGAAGGGGAGGGGAGCCCATTGCAGCAGTTTCCAGCTCTTCGATTCAACTGCGATTCCACCCTGCGGCTAAGCGCTGATACCCTTCACTGTTAAAATTTTAGGTAAAGCTGATGGATTTAAACTGAGTCACTCAGGTTGGCAGGAAAGGGCTCAAGATGGTTCAAAACAACTGAAATAATTTGAACGAGTGTAGTGAGTCCACTTGATCTACAAAGTCTCTCTTGTTCCTGGTGAAAAGTGTTCTATAATGCTGTTTCTTTAATAGGCAAGTGTGTTTATTTCTGAAACGAGGCGCAAACCAGCATGCCACAGATGAGGAAGGGAAAGACCCCTTGAGTATAGCTGTAGAGGCTGCAAATGCAGATATAGTAACATTGTAAGTATTTTTTGTTAAGATTCTATCTAATTTTTTTCCTTAGGCTTATAGCATGAGACAAAAACACACAAGAAACTTTGGGTGGGTTTTATATAAAAATGGTCAAGAACTAAAGACATTGTGAAGAGAGAGTGCAGTATCCATTGGATAAACTGAAATAAGACCTTTGCCTCTTTCACTGGTGAAATTCAGAAATGTGTTTTTAAATATTTTTTTCCTATGTTTTTCAGTATAATCAAATAACTTTCTCATCTTTTCTAAACCATAGGTTACGTTTAGCAAGAATGAATGAAGAAATGCGTGAATCGGAAGGACTTTATGGACAGCCAGGTCAATACTCCACTAATAACCATACTGAGATGCAGTATAAGAAATGCATTCAGGAATTTATCAGTTTACAATTAGAAGATTCATAATTTTTGAGCAAAACTGAATTAGTTTGGTACTGTAATGTTTTATAGGCAACATCTACATGTTAACATTTGATTGGAGTTGACTGCTGCGTACTCTCCCAGATCACTTACTTGTAGGCCGAAGAGGAGGGTGTTTGACATTTACCGTGGTAGTGGTGCATGTTAGCACAGCTGTAGCCAGTCATTGCTGCTGCTGCCTACCGCAGCACTGGTGGAGGCACAGCCCTCAATGGTTGACAGTCCATTGAGAGCCAGGCGATGTTAGGCTGCACCTGATGGACTCCACAGCTGCCGTCGTCTCCCTGGATTGTTCAGCCGACATCGAGGAGTTAATCTTATTATTTCGAATCGATGTCTGTTCTCTCCATTATAAACCCTTTTCCTGAGGCCCATACAAATTATTCATGTGAAATCACTTCACTTCAGGCAGGAATGAGAAAATGAGGGCTGCTTTGCAGAAATAAATGTTAAAACAATGTCTGTTTTTAAATTGTACAGATGTTAAGATGTTAATTTTTGAGACACATTTTTGCATATACAGAACTCAACCAGTTTTTACAAAAAGTTAGTTGGCATTTGGTCCAATTGGTATTAGAAAGCAAAACGTCCCACTTGGCACATCTGTACAAAAACCTCATGGGTGAACACTGCTTGTTTGCACCTTTTGTCTTGTTACACAAGCTGTGCCTACCACGACACACGTTCATAAGAGTCATATCTAAACTAATGCAAAAAGTGTTAACAAAAAGCAGCGACTGGAGAATTTGCAATCCAAGCTGGAGTTAACAGCCAGTCAGAGGCCATCATCAGGGAGCCTAGCTGAGGTAAAACCATTTTCTGGGCTTGTTCCTGTCCAGCACTGAGCACTTTGGGCCCAGACCAGCAGTCCTCAGGCCTGCTCTGTTGACTTCACAGGGACCACTCGCATGTGAGTGCTTTGCAAGATTAGGGCCACAGTGCTCAGCATCTTGCAGATTGGGCTCTGTGCCAGCAGGCCACTGGAGCACAGTAAGTCTGCCTAATAATCCTGTGCCCAGAAACCCAGACTTGTTTATTTCATAACTAGCTTTGGGCTAAGATTGGATATTCAGCCACAAAGACGCTCAGACATTTGAAGTGATGTTGCTGTGATAGTCCAGGAAAGATGCAAGAGTTCTTGTAGGTGATATCTTTTATTGGACCACCTGCATGGTTGGGACAGACGGAGACAAGCTCTTGGGTATCACAGTACCCATTGTCAGGTCTCGAGGGAGGAAGGGTACTGTGATACCCAAAACCTTGTCTCCGTCTATCCCAACCATGCAGGCAGTCCAATAAAAGATATCACCCATAAGAATTCTTGCCTCAGACACTTGAGTAATTTTTGTAGAACCCAGGATGACTTGCTAACAAATATTAATGGGTTATGACACAAACACGAAAGTGTCTGCCAGCTGTAAAGTGACACAGGCTACTGCTCTGCAGAGTAAAAGAGAGACCGCCCACTCCCTCTTGAGTGGCTGTTGTTCAGCCTGTGACACTGGTTGCCAACACAATGCATCCCACTTTTCATGGCACACTAAAAGATAACAGTACCCAGTGATCAATCTCATATTTGTTTTAAAGTGAAAAGAAATTCCACCCTGATTTCAAAGAGCAGAACACATTTGCTTTGAGGGAAAGTCAAGTAAATTGTAAGGTATTTTAGATAAATTTATTAGCATATGAGAGATGCGAAAGCATTATTAATCAAATTGATGTTACATGTACAGAAGTGAGTTTTGTTACTGAATGTTACAGGACTTGCTTTGATTTTCTTTTGTTACAAAAACAGGCAAACTTTGTTTTCCTAAAAATCATTGAATGTCTAGACTTTAACTGGAGCTGGTAAAAATGGAACATGTTTTTCCTTTTTTGTTTGTGAAATCTGTGTAGAGATTTTTCACTCAGTTGGAAAACTCAAAGCAAGTAAGTTATTCCTCAACAGTTTTAGTCTGATCTGTCCATGTTGCAGTAGCATCTAGAGGTTGCACCTGAGATCAGGTGGACACTGTGTGGACAGAGAGCGTGAATCCCTGATTGGCCTGAGCAGGCAAGATGGACGAAGGGAAAAAGGTGCACAGAGAGCAAGTGATCTGCCCAGGGTCTGTGGGTCCTGGGTAGACTGAGGAATAGACCTTCATCTTCCTGCCTGTCACTGCTAATACTGACTCCATGGACAGACTGGGACCTGCTCTGTTGGGATGACTCACTTTATTATTTTTTTAATATAAATAATTATTTGAATGTTTTAAATATTTGCCTGACAAAAGTGCTGTGTGACTGTACCAGTCTGAGCACAAAATCTAGTCACCTTTGTGGTGGTGATGAACAAAAAAAACCTGCTTAGTAGCAGAGCAGGAGTTGGCATAGCAGATGTATCCTAATGTCAGGTATATCCTCTCTGTCTAACACTCTTCTTCAAAGCTGGTTCCAGAAGAGATGATGATAAAATACTAGCTGGTTTATTAAAGATCCTGTGGCTGGGCAGTACGAGAGGGCAAGGGAGGGGGTGGGGGGGTTAAAGAGTGCAGCCCATAATGGTGAAGTTAAGTGAAATCGGCATTCTGTATTTTAGCGTACAGTCAGTGAAAACAGTGATTAGTGTAGCTAGTAGCATCGGTATTTCTAGTGTAAAGATATTTGATTGGTTTGAGCTGTTGAAGGAACATACTCATTACTTTGCATGGTACAGTGGGTCTTCCAAAATGTACTTCGTATGAATGGGTACCAGCTGACTAAAGCAGCTTGTTCTACAAAACGTGCATTGGTGGTGGTAGAAGCCATACATGCTATTGTACTCTTCCATGTATAATACCTGAGAATGCTCACCTTCTGGTGCTACAATCTAGTCAGTATTTCGTAATAGCATCTGCTACCCTTTTTTCCTGTTTTCCTCTCATGTTCAGTGTGTGCCTTTTTAAGTTACTTTGGCGTTGAACAGTACAGCAGTGCTATAGTATTTTTGTATTAAGAATCTGCACTTTAGCTACAATAACAGTGCTTGGAAATCAGTTTTAAGCATTTTAAAATACTATTTACAATGTTTACAGTACTGAATATTTTAATGCAGCATACAAACACGAGGGGCACTTTATTTTACTCTTCTATTTTTGTATGTGATAACTTTTATCATCCAAAACAGCCAAAAATAGAACCAAAAAGTATCTTGCAGAACTAGCTTTCATTCGAGTGAACTTGAAAGAACCAAATGTGTTTAACTGAAGTGCAACATAGTCCATCTGTGGGATCCATTTCCCTTTGTTTCTGTTGGATTAATAATGTAATCACATGCATTAGACATACTAACCTCGACTTTGTGTTCTTCCATATCTGTTCTCTTGATGAATTTTCATGACTTCTGTTTTATGATATGCTTGTCTCCCAGTGGAAGCAATTATCAGAAGCTGTAATGAACAAACCCGTGCCATGTGCCTGTTGCAGTTCTAGAAAAAGTACTTGGAGCTTAACCTGAGGACTGAAAAGGGAATTTCAGTACAAAGAAATTCCCTTCGATTAAATCTGTTGGTGATTTAACTTATTCTTTGAAACCAGAAAGAATTATTTTTGATTTATTCATATACAAATCTTGGCACTATATTTTAAATAGTTTGGGCAAATCAGTTGTCGTATTTGAAAATGTATTTTCAAATAAATGCACCACTAACTCCACATACGGAGGAATGATATAGGTTTGGTACTGGAAATTCATGTAGGATATTATGGAAAAACAATCTTTACTCTAGTCCTGTCCCATACAGGCTCTGTGAATTCATTTAAAAGAATACTGTTTAGAGATGGAGGGAAACGTTTACATTCACCCACCCTCCTCATCTCCTCCCCCACCATTAAAAGGAAGGGAGGCCTGCATGGCAGTAGAAGTGAACTGGGGTTTGGCGATTTCCTGCCCCCTTTAGATATTCAGTACACACTGGAGCTGACAGACGGGGAACAAAAGTGCTTGGGCCTTGTGCAGTCTACAACTACTTTGTTTGTGGGAAGAGGATGGGAGGCTCCAGATGGCTGTGTACCTCTAGAGTCTGTTAAGTTTATTGGCATGTGCTTGCCATGTGTTTAGCAGCGGGGCTTCAAGTGCATTTTTAAATGAAGCCTATGTGCAAGCACTGTGCTGGAATGGAGCCACGATGCCCAAACCTGCTAGATGATCTGCTCAGGTCCCTTCCGACCCTAGAAACTATGAAACCCGCTTTGAAACGATTGCTGCCAGGGATGGAATGGATTTGAAATGGGCAGGGGGCTGCCGCTGGCAAACAGTCATGCGAGTGAAGCAGAGGTAGCTCCAAAATGTAAAGATGTGTGTTCCCTCATAAGCTAGGGAAATGCCCATTGAGTGAAGAAATAAACAGCAACACCCCATCGCCCCGACTTGTTGTGGTATTGAAGATGCGACTTGGCTGCTCTTGTGGATGGGGCAGGGAGCTGCAGAAAAGACTAGGTGGAACAGTCCACCTCCCTCTTCGTGTCCTGATATTGGAAAGGGGGGTTGCTCAATTGGTGTCAGGAACTAAGTCCTTTTAAACACTAACTGAAGGGCAGAAGGAACTGATGAAAAGACACTGCTAGCTGAAGGCCCTTGGTATAGTGTTGGGATATCCTGGAGTATGAGACGAATGTTGAATATTGCATTTAAATATGGTGCCATGTTACTGCAGCAACAATGCAGCGTTCCAAACATGAATTTGCAGTACCATAGGAATGTTGCATGCTCCTTGTTACCTTACAAGCTCTCAGGCTATGAGAGGACATTTTTTCTTTAGTCCTTTCTTTATGCCATACCTCTGTTTTCATGAAGAGAGCCTATGCCAGGACTTCCATTTTAATAGAATGATTTTGCTTTTTATCTGTTAATTAAATGTGTTTTTCTTTTGCGTTGCTTTAAAATGCTTGCACCTTTCCTTCCTAACTTTGAATTTTCCTCTGGCAGCCTTTGAGGTACTATTTCAGGTATAGTTTGGCTTTGTTTCATTTGCTTTTACAAAATATGCATGTCATTTAACCAGTCTCTTTCAAAGACTTTGCATCCATCAGTATCACTCCACATATAAGCCATCTACTATACGTGAACGTTGCACAGTAATTGCTAGGACGGTGGGACATTTGTGTGAAGATGCATGATGTGACCTGTTTTGATGAACATGTTAAAACTGTTTCCCTGTTTTTCTCTTTCTGTGCAGGAGATGAAATTTATCAGGACATTTTCCGTGACTTTTCCCAAATGGCCTCCAATAATCCAGAGAAGCTAAACCGTTTCCAGCAATCAGATTCACAGAAGTCTTGAATGTCACAGCAGGAAAAGAACTAAACCTGATCACTCGTTCTCTTATATGTATAGTGCAAGTCTTTTTAAACAGCTTTAACTATATGCATTTTTTTAGTAGTCAGTAGTCTAGATAAAATGACCACTCTGATGTGGCCTGCGGTAGTGGCAGGTATGGGGAGGGGTGAAGGATTGCTGACGCTGCTGTCCCCGTAAAGCACTTGCCTCTGGAAGGCAAGGGCCAACTTACCCGTCCCATCCCTGATTTGTGGTTGTGGGGAGAGAAACCTGGCAATCTTTTCCTGAGCATCCTCTCTCTACATCTGCCAGTGATAGAAAATATCCTCTGCTCCCCTTGCCAACAGTGCTCACAGACATGTGTTGCTAACAGCAGATAATGAGAGTTGATGCAAGTTCTGTCACCGCTTAACCTTCCCGCTAATGCAGGCCACTGGCGGTGACTGCTGGTCAGTCACTCCGCGGGTGAATGTATGATCTGGAGGACCAGACGTTGCATGGAACAGCCGCAGCCAGGAAGGCTGCCTTTCACCAAGCAGCTCTTGATATTGCTCCCAGTTCAGACTAGTTTGAACACTTGCAGGTAATGCAGCCATCCTGAATTTAGCCTGCTTGATCCCTTGTTGCAGCACGCTGTAAAGTAGGCAGCATACACACACACATATATATATGTGTATTGTTGTATTGTGCTGTTCCTGCAGAGTAACAACACGTGGCATTGCCTAATGGCATTGTCTTGGCATCGAGAGGAGCTTTCTCAGCAAGCCCTGCTCTGCCTTCTGCAGATGTGCATGGTATGTACGGTTTCCCACTTGGATGTGTGCGTCTGTTGTATAACGGATAGATAACACACACCTGCACTGTTCCTGATGCTCCGTCTGTCGGGACTTTGAACAGTAAGGCTCGTTTCTAGGGAGCACCATTAAACTACTGTAAACTTCCTGTGACCTGCTCAAACTAGTTACAGCAACGTGGTATCTTGCTGCTGAAACTTATTTTGGAAATAAATTGGGGGGGGGGGTTGTTTGTTTTTTAACAATTAGCTTGGTTCAGTGTGAGCAGGTAAATTTGGAATTAAGTCTTTCCTGGCACATTTACATTTAAACTATTCCAAGATATTTACCACTGTGCATTAAATAGGTAATGAAAAATAACATCTATGGAAGGTCCCTGATACCAGATTAGATACTTGTATTATACAAAGTGTCGTGTTGATAAGCATGCTAAGTAGCTGAGTTTCACAGCATATAATCTGTGCTTCATGTGTAACCTAATTACTTTAGGAAAAGTAAACTCAGCCCACTGTTTAAACTGCATTTATTTTGGAAAGTAGTAAGTTTTATTATTAGAGAATACTCCTTATAGATGAGTTTCCTAAGCTTTTAAATTGGAATGACTTCCTGTACAATGATAGCATGCCCAGTGATTGCTAATATTGAAATATCCTTCTGTCTTAAATTAGGAGGTGTTAGAGAATATAAGCTTCTCTGTAGCTGGGACAGTGTGAGATGCACCTAGTGCACATTGCAGATATACAGTAGTAAGAACATGGTCTTGGCACTACAGGTGAGGGTGGGTGTATGTTGAGTGTGACGGCTACATTAAAGCAGTTTGAAGCTTCAGGGCATAGCTACCCTCTTTCTTTCTGTCACAGTAAGACATCAAGTCTTTTCTCTAAGATGCCCTGTATCAGACCTCCCCCTTGGACCACAGGTAGCATTTCCTTTCTAGTCTCAGGGGACCCCCTGCTTAAACTCACAAGAGGATTTCCTCTAAAGCAAAGGCCTTTCTCGCCTTGCGGCTGTGGGGGGGTGCTTCTGCTGCACTCTTGCCTGCCTGGGCAGCACGTGACCTCACTTTTTTGTAAGCAGCGTGTGTGTTCATGCCACACTGTAACCTCTGCTCTGGCTGGTACTGATGGTCAGCGTTCCCCACGGCAGGTTCTGTCAGTGTGTTTGGGCAGGAGGCGGTGGGGTTGGACTGGTTTGCAGAGCAGGGCTGGCAGCTCAGACTGTGCAGTTTTGCTCCCTGACCCCTTAGGTACACAGATGTGTACAGTAAGATGTGTTTGCTGAGAGAGCATTTTCTGTCTGACCAGCCCTGGCAGAAACAAATGCGTAGTTTAATTAATACATGTCAGCCTCACCAGGTGGGGGTGGCTCCCAGCCCCCCTGGGATGCTGTAGCTTGCAGGATCAAGAGCACGGCTGATCCAGGCCTTCAGAGGTCTGCATTTGCCTCTGAAGTGCTGGCTCATGTGCTCCTGTTCTGCTCAGCAGCAGCAGGGAACTTCCACTCCTGCCACAGGGTGCATCTGAATGTCACTTGAACTGTATGCAATAAAAGTCCATTGTGCATTGAGCCACGTACCAAATAAAGGGAAACTTTACATCCCGTTCAGGCTTATGCCACACAGATGGACTATCATTGGCCTTCATTTGTGCAGAAGGAAGAGGCTGTTGTTTTTTCACAATTAAAAAGCAATTGATTATTATAATCTTACAACTATGTGAATATCTAGTACTGGGGTTGCCACTGAAGGAGGGTCTGACCTTCATCTTGGGTCAGAGACTCAGCACAAAAGAGCACAACCTCCGTTCCCCTGCCCCTCCCTTTTGGAGGTGTAGGTTACTCGCCCAACTTGCTGATGAAACTTGGGCTACAGTGTCTCTATTAAAATGATTGGTATTTGTTTTGTTTTTAAGGCTGCTTGTTTTGTATTGGTGTTGGTATAATGCACATGAATTCAGGTATTTCTGTTCTACTGCATCGTACTGTTTGACATACTGAAATCATTATTATGTTCCCACAATTTTGAGTGACTCTGTCAGCAGTCCGAATTCTTGCTTTAGCGTTACAGGCTGCGCACACGGATGGCATTGGAGCGCACGCTTCAGTTGCTTGTGAATGCAGGTAGATCGCCGCATCCTTTCCTGTTCAGCAAGGACCTACTCCAAGAGCTCGCTGGAATTGGGGCACCTTTCCATGGACTTTGGGAGTTACAGATTGATCGCACAGTGATGATTTTGAACGTTTTTAGTGTTTTGAAAGATGCCACATGAATATTGTATCTTATCCCCTACCCACCTTGAAAGTGTATTTTGAGTTGTTTTATATACAGGCAGGGTTGGTCTCTTGGTCAGTTGTCTATAAAATAGTCCCTCACTCTGCATCAGGCCTTGTCCACAGCATGCCCCAGCTGTTAGAAATTACTTTATCATCATCATCTTACAGCACTACAAAAAATGTGAGACCTAACAGCGCAATGCTTGCTGCAGTGCTTCCGCTGTGTGCAGGGAAGCACCAGGCTCTACCTTCTTAAACCCAAAAAGTGCATGGGAATGATGCATTTTAGTAATGACATCTCTAAATAGCACAGGGATGGCAGGTGGGCCAGTCCCTGGAGCTCCAAACAATCTGGCATGAAAAGGCTGATGTTACCCAAAGGACTGAACTGATGCGCTGACATACTCTGTGACTGCCCCTTTGTCCCCTCCCAGGCGGGGAAGCATCTTTCCCGGATCAGGCAGAGCGCCTGGGCAGGGAGCTTCCTTGCCAGCGTTGGCAGCGTCCTGAGTCAAGCATGTCTGCACATGCCCCTGCACCCTGTGACAACAGGGACACCCCGCGAGGTGCGGGTATCGCGGGAAAAGGTGAAGGTCTATCTCACTGTGTTTTCCCCCTTACTCCGTTCTTACCACGTGGCATCTTCCCCTGGAAGGAACGGGGGGTGGGGGGTGGGAGGAGTCCCCACTTTGTTTTACCGTAAGTTCAGCAACTCCCCGGGCCGGGCCCGGGCCCGTGCTCGCGGGGGCGCGCAGCCTGCCGAGGGTCAGGCTGTGGCCCAGGAAACACTGCCCTCCCCGTGCCCCTGCGGGCGGGGTCGAGCCGCGCGCTTGCCCCCGACCGCGTGGCCGGGATCGCCCCGCCCCGTCGACTCCGCATCGCACGGGGATGTCGCGTGTCCCGTCCGTCGTTGGCCCGGGGAGAAGCGGGTCACGTGTCGTTGCTCCGTGGTGCACGGACTTCAAACCCGGCGCGGATTAAACACGCTGCAGGCTGCCGCACTGCGCCTGCGTGCGGCGGGTCTGGGCGTCTGCCCCGGGCTGAGGGGGCGGGGTCGCGCGGAGGGGGCGGGGCCGG